AATAGTTGAGCTATAAAGGAACTACAGCACGGTCACATGACTTCACGTCACCACCGCTAAGCTAAAGGAGGCTAATGTTGGACTATAAAGGAACTACAGCACGGTCACATGACTTCACGTCACCACCGCTAAGCTAAAGGAGGCTAATGTTGGGCTATAAAGGAACTACAGCACGGTCACATGACTTCACGTCACCACCGCTAAGCTAAAGGAGGCTAATGTTGGGCTATAAAGGAACTACAGCACGGTCACATGACTTCACGTCACCACCGCTAAGCTAAAGGAGGCTAATGTTGAGCTATAAAGGAACTGCAGCACGGTCACATGACTTCACGTCACCACCGCTAAGCTAAAGGAGGCTAATGTTGGGCTATAAAGGAACTACAGCACGGTCACATGACTTCACGTCACCACCGCTAAGCTAAAGGAGGCTAATGTTGGGCTATAAAGGAACTACAGCACGGTCACATGACTTCACGTCACCACCGCTAAGCTAAAGGAGGCTAATGTAAGAGTGTCAGACCTCCAGCAGTCTCTTCTCCCAGTGGTTCAGCTCCGTCCCGGTTCCCCCCTGGTTCTCCAGCTCCATGCCCTCCAGGATGGGACAGTTAAAGTGTCTCCGGGCCTCCTCCTGCAGACACAGATGTTGATATATTTCATCATTGTTTTCTCTTTTCTTGTTATATTTTCCCACAGCTTAAGGAGATGTTTTCCAAAAATATTAAAATGTAATCTAAGACAAATCCTCCAGTTTTTTATATAGTAATGTTTAAATATGCTAATGAGGCATTCTCTTATTAGATATGTGTTTATTTGCATACATTGCCCTCACAGAAATGTGATCATGTGATCATGTGATATGCCAGGTTCGTGTTTCCGGTTGTTGACATGTTAGAGCCAGATGTTTCCACAGAGGGATATCTCTTTGTATCGCTCCATAAATCAGAAAAAAGTCATTCCCTGCATGTTTCTCCGTGTGAAATGTGATATGAACACCAAGCAGGCTTAGAGATGGTTGTAGTTTGTTAAAATGACACACTAATGAGTCAGCGTTTCCGCCAGGGGGGCGTCTTGCCGTCATGCGATTCCCTTATTCAGCTTGGAACGCCCTGATCTCGAGCCGAGGGCGTCCAGAAAATGTTATAATTCGATAGAAGATCGAGTTTGGACACCCTCTCAGCCCTGGTCTGGCGGAAACACTGACATGAAAGGTCTATAAAATGTCAGAAGAGGAAAATAGTTGTGAATCTCTAAATGTCTTTTCTGTCTTACCCACAATCCAAATCTCAGAGATAATGATTTAACTTTAATACAAGCGTTTAAGAGACTGCAATCAGGGACTGTCTGAGGCACTGAGGACATGTTAGGTGGGGTCTCTCACCACGACGCGGGGGGTCACCAGCACGTGGACCTGGTGTCGGACTATCTCTCCTCCTCTGATGTCCCACAGCCGGACCACCCTCCGGATCACCGCCTCGCTCCACTGGTACAGACCCAGGCTGCACACACAGGAGGGAACGTTACTACGACAACACATCGTCTGTTTTAGTTTGAATAATATTCCTTCCCATCAACGCCTGCCTCTCTGTAATGCATTCTAAAGGTCTCCTATGATACTGTTCTTCATCAATACATCAAGGTCTCAGATATATCCAGAGCCTGTCTCTGATTGGCTGAAACACCAAACAGATCATTGCAGAAAGAAACATCTACTTCTTATATCCGTTAGCGCAGCTAGCACCAGATGCTAATAACAACAGCGCCGGTACCGGTGCGCCCTCTCCCTTGCTCGCTCTCTCGCTCCCACTTTGGCTGTGAGCTGCGGGCCCCTGATAAGCCAACATCCCCCACTTTCATCACTTACAGCGCCCACCGTACAGGGCAAATGAAACGTGTAACCGGGGTGAAAAGGGTGTTACATTGACTTAATTATGAATGTTGTGACATCGAGGCCGAACATTTGGATGAGCGCAGACGGTCAAAAAGGTTTGTTCTGATCAGCTCAGTTTCAGACAGGTTTTTATAGAAATGGATCAAAAAGAGAAAGAATCTTTGTTCCTGAAACTTTCAGAGTCTCTTTCCACAGAGGGGACACATGTTGATGTAGAAGAGACATGAAGAAGAGGGGACACATGTTGATGTAGAAGAGACATGAAGAAGAGGGGACACATGTTGATGTAGAAGAGACATGAAGAAGAGGGGACACATGTTGATGTAGAAGAGACATGAAGAAGAGGGGACACATGTTGATGTAGAAGAGACATGAAGAAGAGGGGAGACATGTTGATGTTGAAGAGACATGGGGAAGAGGGGACACATGTTGGTGTAGAAGAGACATGGAGAAGAGGGGAAACATGTTGATGTAGAAGAGACATGGAGAAGAGGG